TTATTTCAATGCTGACAGCGGACGAATAGTATAGAATTATAGACCAACTTTCAAATAATAAGACTTCTAGTCCTTCAAAAATTTCTAACGAAATGGTCAAACATCTTGGCCCTATGGGAAAAAAATATTTTGGTATATTATTTGTGAATGTCTTCAGATTTCCTCAATTCTATTAAGATGGAATATGGCCTATGTCTATCCTATTTCAAAACTGAAATTATGACAATTTGATCTGAATAACAGCCGATCGATAATATTGCTAGAATGTCCAAGAAAAGCTTTTACAAAGCTTCTGAACACCCAATTAGCTTCTATTTTTACCAGACATAATATACTAAAAGGATTCAACTTTGCTGGGCTTCCTTTCAAATTAACGTTTGACCCTATTCATATAATAAATTATGTTAAATAAGACAGACATCTTATTTCACAACTAAGAACTTTGAATGCTCCTCTCAGAATATATCTAAAGCTTACGATCATGTTAACGTCTTTACATTAGCTAAAGCCTTTGAAAGACTTAAAATCCTATTCTCATTTATTCAAATCATCATAAAGATTTTATACTCTGTTTTAACTAAGTATTTATGGCATATGAAAATACTGACACATATTTAGATCAATCAGAAATTAATCAAGGAGAAGTAATTTTACCACTTTTGTAATGCACTTATTATGACTCACTTTTGTGTAAAATTACTTTTATCATAATAAAGATTTAGTGAAACTACCGCATTTTAAAAAAAATGTAAAATAGGGATCATAATCCCATATACCTTAGTAATGAATTAATAAAAAGTCATTATGCATAATTTAGTGTTTAGAAAAGAATAATAGATTCGCTTTAATTCTTAGTAAATTTATTAAATTATAAATAATAAAATTTAGGAATTATAAAATATTTAGAAATCATCTTTTAATAATATATTTATATCATACTTACAACATTGAAAACCTCTTTAATATGTTAAAGTCAATGTTAAAAATTAACCTATTGTAACATAAAAATATAAACTTATTGATAAGCTGAAAATAAAAGAAATTTAAACAAATAAAAAAAAACAAAAGAAATTAATGAATTATGATTTTGCAAATTATAGAAAAATAATCAAATGAAAGGTTAAATGAGAAAACGAGAAAAGAAACTAATAGAAAGAAATACCTGTTATTGAAGATGCTAGAAGATTAGAAAACAGAATAAAAAGAGTAAATGAAAAAACATAAGATGATGACAAATTGATCAAAGAAATATATGATATACGAATAAAAGAATTTATAAAGAAAAATAAGAAAAGATTAATTACAAATTTGGATTTTACCGATAATAATAAAATAATTGAACAAAAAGTCTAATAATAAGGATAAGGAATTCATCAAAGAAAAAGGATAAAACAGAAATAATAAAAATAGAATTGTCAAAAAATAAAAATTATGAAATTAGGGAATTAGACAAATTAAAATAAATTGGACAAAATGAATAAACGAAAGTTAGATTTTTGGATAAATAAAATAATTTGTAAAACAAATCCTTTTGAAGACGAGTGGCAGAAATAGTTTAGAAAAGTACAGTTCTTGTTGAAGCTATTGAACTCACAAAATATCATATATTTGTAAATCACAGATTTTGACGCTTACAACACTTTATTTCTACAATTACTTCATTAATACTAATACTTAATAGGTTTATTCTTACACAAGCCCTATAAAAAAGAATGTCCGGAATTTAACAGGTAAATGTATTGAAATAATAATGTACAAATTCTGAACATTTTTATTGTCCAGAATATGTTCTAAATCTTAGTAGTTTCTGGACATTCATTTTGTCCAAAAAATGTCATTGTCTAGAATTTCAATATTCAATTTCTTTAGAATGCAAAATTGGACATTTTTCAAACATTTTTTGGATAATTTTCAGACATAAACCTATTTTCTGAACATTTTCCAGACATAATTATGTTTTTCTAAACGTATTCCATTTTTTTAATGTTTTTAGACATTTTTACTATTCATAATATCAAATTTATAACTTAATAATTTATTAATTTAAATTTATTTATTTATTAAAAAAATATAAATAATGATAATAAAATACAATAAAATACAAATATTTTATAATAAAAAAAGTATAATATAAAATATAAAAAGAAAATGATAATAATAATAATATTTAAAAAAAATAGTTAGTAATAGTAAATAAATTTTTTATAAATTAATTATGATTATTTTTATAAATTAATTTTATTATAATATATATATCTTTATATAAAAACTTTATTTTAAAATTACAAACAAAATAATAAATAGGCTATACAAAAAATATAGAAAAAGCAAAAGAAATAAGTAAAAGAAAATTTAATATTAATCACTATTTAGCATAGTCAAAAGATCATTTAATATGAAATCATTATTGATTAGCAAATTTTATGTAATATTTAAAATTACGATTTATTCTGTTGAAAATATTTAGTATTATTAATATTAAGATAAAAAATAATAAAATTATGCTATTATTAGTAATAATTATTATAATTTAAATATATTATATTTTTGGCAAATATTATAGTAGAATTTTAAAACCATTAACTAATATAATAGTATTGCTATTATTAGTAATAGAGTAGATTTTTTTACTTATTAAATAGTAATTCTAGTATAAGATATATTCTAAAATTCTGAAATTGTTTAAAGAGTCTCTTTTATAGCTAAATATATTATTACAGTTTTTAATGCAGTTTTGTTATAAATTTAATTATAGATTATATTAGATTTAATAGGAAATAATTAGAAAAAATAGACAAATAAATTATGGTTATAAAAAAATTTAAATTAATTAGTTTTATTTTTTCTTTATTATAATATTTTAATAAATAAAATATTTTTTATTAAAGATTTTTTTATTAAAATATGTTGTTTTGCTACATATTACAATAATTATATTTATTTAATTTGTTATATTATTTAATATTCTAACTATATATCACTTAATTAACTAATTTGATATCTTTATAGTTAAACATTTTTAAATATAATATATCAATTAATTATAAATTAAATTAATTAACTTAATTTACTATATAGTAAATTTTTATAATGCATTTCCTTAAAATTATAAAATTAATATAATTCTAGCTAGTATTAAAATCTAACTTAAATTATTATATTATATATACAAAAATTTTTTTATTAATTTAAAGCATAAATAAAGGATTATATATATCTGTATCTAATATCTATTTGTTTACTTACTTAAAATTTGAGTTAATATATGAATGCTCTCTTTATTACACTTATATTCTAAACTTAACAATAGTTTTTAAAACTATTCTCTAGTTATAAAATTATTTAAATAATATAATATCAAAAATAATGTATTAAATAATTTTATTTTTTATAATATTTAATTATATATTCTATTTTATTTTACATTTAATGCTTATTAATATTTATATAAATTTCTATATGATTTTCTTGTAAATATTCTAATATAAAGTAATGAAATTTTATTTAAAGTATTGCCATAACCTATTACAAATCAGTTCATATATAATCACAATTTTTATAAGAATATTTCTTAAATATTTCTCAATATATTTCAATGAAATTTAATTCAAAATGAAATTTTAAACAAAAATTACCTTATTCCTTAAATTGTAAGTATAAAATTGTTTATAAATTATTTTAGAAACTTAAAATATTTTAACATCTAATAATTATAAAAATATGAAATAAAGTTTATTAGATTTATCATATTAATACATTTAATAATATTTTTAAATTTTTAAAAATAATAATTATTAATTAATATATATCAATTTTTCAATTTTTCAATTTTTAAAAATAATATATTATGTAATAATTATTTAAAAATAAAATTCAGTTTATTAGATTCATAGTTATATAATTTAACATTTTTAAGAAATTTAATTTTAAAGAAAGTTAATAATTATATTTAAAATTAAAATAATAAATAAAGTTAATTTTTAATTTAAGTAATTTTAATATTTATATTTTTATTATAAAGGTAAAATTAATTAAATTAATAAAATTATATAAACATTATAATTTTTTATAATAATATTACATATTATTTTTATTATTTTTATTTATATATTGTAGAAAATTATTTTAAAATATAAAATATTAGTGTTAGAATATTAGAATAATTCTTATATTAAATTAAATCATCTGATATAATTTGTTAAAAAAAACTCGTTTATTAAAGTTTCTATAAAATATATTTGTATTACAATAACATTCTTCCAAATTTATAGCACATACAAAATATTCCGAACACAAAAAAAAAACTGGTTTAAATGGAAACAAGTAAGATACATGTGATTATAACTATATTACCCCACTAATCGATAATCCATACTTTTTAATGCATCAAGAATTGAACAAAGTTAAAAGCTTTTATTTTTTTATAAAGCAGACTTTATAGATAGAGCCCTTTCTAAATAATGAATGTTAATCTCTTTGTATATCTTTTTTTCTCCTCGATTTTTTTAGAAAATTTATTATCGGTGACTTTCAAGCCAGAATCTTTAATTTATTTTATTACTATCAAATCAATATAAATTGCTTTAAGAGCACTTTTTTTTCATTGTAATGACGTTTTTCCGAATTCCCGATGTTTAATGTTTAGTTACCTTTATGTATATATGGTATATATAATACCGCAGTAAAATTTAAAAGTTCCCCATTTCCCAACCAAAAATAGTTCGTTTAACATCCACCACTCAATCATCATCATGATCAGGTTTATTTATTTATTTATTTATTTTTTTTTTTTTATTTACACTTTTTGATTTTTTTTGATATATAGATAAAAAAAAAAAAAAAAAAAAAAATAATAATAAAATAATAATAATAAAGAAAATCACTTTCCCGTGGCGTCGAATTTATTTTATATTGTTAAACCTTCTTTCCCTACCTTTCCCTACCAATATAACGAATATCTCACCATTTAAACATTTCGCACGCAAAGGTAATTCTAAGAAATGGAAGGTGACACAGTACAAGCTTTCGCTAAACTTGAAGGAGATAATTTTTGTTATTATATAAAGACACTTCAAGTAATACTTGGACGTAAAGCAAGTGGCTCGGATCAAGTTGATATACACCTTGGTTCTACTAAAGCAATATCAAGACAACACGCGCGACTTTATTATAATTTTCAAGAACAACGTTTTGAATTGGAAATCTTTGGAAAGAATGGTGCCTATATAAATGAACAGTTCTGTGAAAGAGGTTTTAAAGTACCACTAGAAAATAGGTGATTTTTATTCCCCATATTTATTTTTTTTTTTTTTATGTTTAAATAAATTATAAATTTCGAAGTGCATGAGCGCGTAATAGATGGTTGCATGCGTAATGTCTTATAATGGTGACTAAGTTTTTAACCTAGTTTACCATCAAACCTATTTATTTCGTTACGAATGTTATTGTTCCTTCAAAAAAAAAAAAATGGTTCTTTTTATAATAGGCTATTTCTTACGTTTTAATACGATGTGCTTAAAAAAACCATTCGCCATGCTAATGCGCGACTTGTTTGATATAAAATTAAACTAGAACAAAGATTCAAATTGGCGAGGTGGTATTCTCATTTTTGCTACCAAGGACGGATAATGAAGATGGTACGTCCACTGCTACTGAACATGACACGTATCATATGACTAGTAATACGACTTACCAAGAAGCAACAACCAAAGAATCTCTAGTAGAGTGTGGCCAAAGTTATTCAAATGGATATTCCACCACTGCCAGTCAAGAATCCTCTTACGGTTATGCTAATATTAATAGTAAGGTTAATTTATTAGACAGTGGAATCGGTTCATCAAATTCTAGTCAAAGAAGTGGTTCTTCATCATCTTCCACTCAAGGAGATGCTAGTGAGCAACAAAGTCCCGTTGGTGAAAAGATTGATATATCAAAATATCAATCCAGACAAATTAAACCTCCCTTTTCATATGCATCTTTAATTGCTCAAGCGATACAATCAGCTCCTTCTAAAAGGATGACACTTAATGCCATATATAATTGGATAACAACACAATATCCTTATTATAAAATTGCTCAAAATGGATGGCAGGTCTGTAACTTATTACGATTGTTATTCTTAGTCGGAATCAACTTAACGTTAAATTTCTTTCTTCATTATTATTATGTTTTAGAATTCCATTCGTCATAATTTATCATTAAACTCGGCTTTTGTTAAAGTTCCACGTAATGATCATGAACCTGGTAAGGGAGCATGGTGGACCATTGATCCTGAATGTGAATCTCAATTTACCGACGGTGTATATAAAAAGAATCGGAGACCAATTTCAAAAGAAAAAAGAGCTTCTATTCCACCTTATCCAACAGAAAAAAATGTAAGGAAAAGACTAATCAATGACAATGATAATAATGATGGGAGAGATTTGAAGAAATTAAATAATCAAGTCCCTATAAATATCAGCAATAAAAACAATAACGACTGCGGTGTCGAGAGTATTATCACTGCAACAACTAATATCGGAAGTGAACAAGACGTTACTGTAGGTTATGATACAATTTCTTTAAAATACTATTATAAATGACAATTTGATAACACAAAATCAACTAATAATATCATATTGGAAATTCAAAAGAACGACAATTCTCCCTCCTATAGTCCATCTTCGCAGTTAGTTTCATTACAAGGAATCAATTCTCATTTAAAAAGAAATATAGCGCCAGCACCATCACTACCGGTTCCAATTGCACCTCTTGTGTCGCGTCAATCCAGTAGTAAACATCATCAATTCATATCACCTACGTGTTGGAATTTACATCATCTTCCACCAATCGCTCCTAAAAAGTCTTTACCTGATCAAGGATTAAGCAATTGTGCAAAATAAGAATAAAAAGAGTTAGTATTTTTTTTTTTTAAAAAAAAAAAAATGATGATTCTTTTTATAAGGTAGATATATCATGTAGAAAAATTCCGTTGACAATTTAGCAAAGATTAACGAAGTCTATGATAAAATTAAAAGTATTTTATTAGACTATTCTCATTAAATTTCACCCTTTTTCTTGATAAATATATACAGAATAGAATGATTTGTGATTAAAGAGAATATACGAATAGATGAAACGATTAATGTTATATAACGAAGTTTGAAATTTTTCTTAAAAAAGATTAAAATTGTGATTTTTATTTAACTGGTTTTTTAAAAATAAAATAATAAAATATTTTATTATTATAAAATACATTGTATATTGTATATTAGTAAATCCACAAAACACAATGATTGTTCTCATATCTGATAATAGTAATTTGACATTTGACATTTCATGCAATCACAAACTCTTAATTTGGACTAATTGAATTAAATTAAAATCATGCAGTAAAAGGAATAGTAAATTTAAATTTCGTAGTCACATAATCAAAATAATTTGGTGAATATGACGTTATATTTGTTATCCAACTTTCTGTTTAATATTAATTAATTCTATTTTAATATATTCGCACATGTTAATAAAATCCAATTATTAATTTATAACATTCTAAAAGCAGAATATTGAAACTTATTATAACTTTAATATTATATATATTAACAAAATCGTTTTACTATCAAACTTTATTATTATTAGAAACTTTGAAATTTGGCTATTAAATTTTATTTATTTTTATTTTATAAGAAATTTTTAAACAATATCAATAAATAAATATTATAAATAAATAATTATTATATAAATATATTTTTTAAATGTTATTTAAATATTTACAATTTCTATAGGTTTGGTTTCTACTTAAAATTATAATTGTAAAAATATAAAATTATAAAACTTTTGTATATAACATTATTATCTGTTACTATAAAATGATACTTTCTTGATAGTTATCATTGAATATAAAACAAATAGTAAAAATTTCCTATTTTATTTTTTTGTGTATTGTTCTATAATATTTTTAATGTTGAATTAACTTATAAGTTTCTATAAATTTTTTGAATAAAGATCATCAAAACACTTGCAATGTATATTCTTTTTAAGTTAGATCTGCATGAATGGATTAGAAAATACTTAGTAATAAATTTAAATATAGATTATAGATTAGTTCTTAGATTAGCTTTTAAATTAGTTAATTTAAATATTATTTTCAAATGTTAATCTGATTCGAATGCTATTTAGATTATAGATTATAAAATGCTTACCCACCCTCCTTGCAATTACATAACATATATATACTTATTTTTTGTAGGTAAAAAAATTGGCTTATGTATTATCATGTTGGGGTTTATTATTAATATGACAAAATTAACAAATTGATTTACCTCCTTAATCTTTTTAAATATATTATTATGAATTTTTACAAAATAAAATGCAGGTTACCATCTTAGAATTTAATTGTCTTTATATTTAATTATCTAATGTGACAAAGTAATAAGTTATATAATATTTATATTAAAAAATTATTGTTTATGACTGAAGATTTCTGATTAAACATCATTTTCATACTATATTAAGCAGAAATATGATTTAATGGAAAAGTTTAATTCATATTTTTTTACCATATAAGGAAATATGAAATTTATGATGAAGGATAAAAATTCATTATACTGACCAGTCTCTTTAAAACTGAGAGCTTGAATTAATTGTTAAAAAAAGTATAAAATATAAATCCTATAGCTTCTTTTTTCTTTTAGATAAAAAAATATTATACAAAATAAATAATAATACTAGCTAAACCTTTACAATTTACTTTTTATATAATTCTACTAAATATTTAATTTTAAAATTTACAGTAAAAGAGATTACAGCAGTTTTTAGGTTGAATGTAAATGATCTAATAAAGATCGTCTATCTTAGGATCAAAGTCTTCATCTCATCAGATTAAACTATTGAAACCTGAATTATTTTAAAATTGGCAATATAATTTTAAAAAGGAAGTTTGTCACTTACTTTAGATACTATTCTATATGTATAGTATAATTCTTTGAATATTTACTATGCTTGTATTCCTGAATTTGCTACTTTTTACGAATAACATAAAGGTCAATGCTACCTTCATCAAAGTCCTGAAAAATATAGATTTGATCTTATATTATTGATTAGTCTAGATATAATACTTGTAAGTATCACAATAAAACAGTGAAGAACATCAATGAGAAATTAGTTCTTGACTTTTATGTAGAAGAAAATCTTGGAAATAAGGAACTGTGCGAATTTAGATAAAAGTTAAGCACTATCTGAATCTTAGGTATTTCTCTAACAAAACAAATTTGATAAATCAAAGCATAAGATCTATAATTACAATACTTGTGAGATTGATTAATTATGAACTAGCTGTGGTTGATAAAATAATACAGAAGAAAGTTTACTTAGAAAATATGTGTTTAACTTAGAAAACATTTCTCAAATATTTACCAATTATAATAGTAATAACAATTAGCAAGTGTTAAATATCCTATAGCTTAATCTGCTAAAAATAAATCATGAAGGTAGCAGCAGATCATCCAGAGGCATAACACCAAGATCAAGAAAAGGGAGAAATACTTTAGCTTAGGTAGGATTGTCAAAGAATTAAAATCTTATATTTGTTCTAGAAGCAAAATCAAATTCTGGCTATGAATAATACTATAGCAGATGATGATAATCCTTCACAAGATCAAAAACAATAATTCTTTCACAGTTTTTGATATTTTTAAAATTTTAATTAAATTTTGTAAAATATGAAGGTTTTATAGCATATTTTCTGAAATGTATATATGTTCTGATAATTCATTAAATAAATAATTAAATAAATAAAATATATATTCTTAAGCATATACTGTACTTATTATTTTTTAAATAAATAAAGTATTTATGTAAAACTAATCTAAGCTGTCACTTTTAAGCACAAGATATAATATGTTGTAAAATATATATAGAGGGTCGCTAAAGTCTTCGAATACTTTTGGCTCAATAAATTATTTAAATTTTAAAATTTAATTAAATAATTTATTAAAAATGACATATAAAATAATTTTCATATTAATTAATTAGTATTTGATCAGACCTTCATTTGCTTCAATTACAGCCTAAATTCGTTGTAATATACTATTGACCAAATTTTCAATAGTATATATAGAAATTTCTCTCTATGACTTCTTAATATACTCTCTATTTTAGCAATATTAGAAGTATTTTTTTTCTTTAACAGATGCTTTTCTTAATATCAGTTTACAGATTTTTGATCAGACTGATGTTTAGACTTGAATAGGACATGAAAGAATGTATATATCATTTTCTGCATAAAATTCTTTGCCTACTTTATATTGTGAGGCTGAAAATTATCCTCCTGAAAACTACTATCACCATTTGAAATGCATTTTTAAAGTACAATTTATGTAAAAAGATTTAAGACATTATATGACCACAAAATTGCTATATTACATAAAATTACCGATATTGAATTGCATCTAAAAAATGGTATTCAGAGATTTTTGACAGCCCTCTGTTTATTTATATTTTTATATTATTTTAAAAATTACATTCTCAAATATACAACAAATATGTTATCAGAATACAGAAAATTATAGAAAAGACTAGGATCTATTTCTTGATATTTCTTATAAATATTCGTGAAAATATTACATTCCATTATGAAAAATAAAAAAAATGAATAATATTTATTTAAATTTAAAATTAATATTTTATTTTTTTAAAATTTATTATAAATTATTTATTTTGTACCTTTTTAGATCTTCAAAAAAAGAAAAGAATAATCTATAATATATTATTTATCGTATAAGAAGGTAAAAAAAGAGAGATTATAGCTTATATAATTTATAATGTATACATCTTTAATAACAAATATAAGATCATATTAAACTTTATAATAAATAATAACGATCCTGATCCTGTATTACCTGTTTTAGGTTAAGATTATAATGATAACCTTTCAAGTCATCTATTGCTCTCCTAATTACTGCACTGAAGATCTTCACCAAAAATTATAAAGGTTATATAATAGATTTTAAAATGCCATTCTATTATAGTAGCTTCAAATTCTTTGAGTATATTGTGAAAGACTTTTATATTCTAAAAAAACATATTAAATATTATATGATTTATACAGGAGCTTAACCAGTACAATAAACTACTCTTATAACATTAGAGCATATACTTTGTATTCTGAAGTATTAAGAGCTTCCTTGAAGTCAAATGAAAATGACTATACTAATAATGAAGGTTAGGATACTCTAACTTCTGATAAGATTTTATGACAAGCTGTCACTTAACTTACAGAAAATAACCCTTACCTTTATTCTTTACAAACTTTTTGCTATCTGATCCTGAATATCATATACTAAATGATCCCTTTTCAAGTACATAATATATTTAGATAGATATCAATGCTCCTCCTATTAATCTGCATAATATAGTGATTCCAAACTATAATTTCTCTAATAAAGTATATGACAAAGACAATTCTGATCCCAACTTTTATACGTACTATAACTCTTACTTTTATTAGAAATAGCTTTATTTGAATTCGATGTTACATAAATTCAGATTGTCCAACATTATTCATAATATTGAGTATGATCAAAAACTGCTAGACACACTTTTAAGAAATACTCACAAATAGTGATAATAAAAATATATTACTAATGAATAGACCTTCATTGTGCTAATTATTTCATATACAAGTTTCAATCATTAAAGAAAGAGCTTTACAAAAAATTAGAACTTACAAGTTTTAGTGATATTACTAAATTCTTTGACTGTGTAGAGTTTTAGAATAGAGGAGCAGTGTATATGCATAGTTACTATTAAACAATGAATATCATTGACAAAATGATCTCAAATAATATTATCTGATTGACTATATCAGATCTTCTATATAAACTAGAACTGTACGCTACCATTATTGCTAACTAAATATATACCTATAAATGAAGTATCAAGAACTTACACCTTTAAGTTTAAACGTGTAAAAAAGATTTTTTCTAACCTTTCAGTGAAATAACATATTGTGTTAAAGGAAAGAACTAGTGCATTTATAGATGTTTAACAAAGGTTAATTCTTAGGTCATTCCTTATTATACTCCAATATTATTACTTTAAGATATTCACATAAACATCCAGTATATGACAGATAAAGAATTTTTTCATTATATGATAAAGTATATTACAAAAAAAAATTAATTTCAAGAAATATTTGTGAATAGTGATAATGGAGATACATTACTAATAAATAGATTATTTTACTATACTAATTACTTTGTGCATAAGTTTCAGTTATTAAAAAAAAGCTTTATAAAAAATCAGAACTTACGAGTTTTAGTGACATTACTAAATTTTTTGACTATGTAGAGTTTTAGAATAAAAGAGCAGTGCATACATATAGCTGCTATTAGATAATGAACACTATTGATAAAATGATCTCAAATAATATCATTCGATTGACTATGTTAGATCCTCTACATAAACTAAAACTATACATTATTATTGTTATTAATTAAATATGTACCTGTAATGTAAAGTATTAAGAACTTGCATCTTCAAATTAAATGTATAAAAAAGGTTTCTTCTAACTTTTCAGTAAAATAATATATTATGTTGAAAGAGAAAACTAGTACATTTAATAAAAGCTGATTCCTAGATCGTCTCTTATTACACTCTAATAATATTACTCTGAAATGCTTACATAAATATTCAGTATGTAATAGACAAAGGATTTGCTTATTATATGACAAAGTATATCATAAAAAAGAACTATTACATATATTTACCACTTATGAAAATGATCTCTTAAGAAAACATGTAATTGCATGTTGTTTTAGTTTAATAAAATTCATGTTTTTGCTTTTAAGACATAAGATTTATAATTCGTCAGCTACAGTCAATTTTCTTATCACTAAACTACCTTTTACATAAATACACTCAATTTTTCCTATATACATGATAGATGAAAGTGATGATAATCCTTATTATAATGATACTATTATAAAGTATATATCTCAATTAAGAGTTTGAAACCCTTACCTACCCCTAATATTTTAAAAAGTACTCAATTATGCCTTTTTTGTTACCTAGAATTACACGTTAAGTTTACTATGATAAGCTAAAAAATTATGTTATTAAATAATCAAAAGAAATCATAATCAGATATTAATTTCTTAAAATTGCCAATAAAGAACTTTATTTTGATCAACAGTTATTACTAAATATACTATATGAAATAATCTGATTTTAAGATAAAACATATTGCAAAAAGTTTCTGTCTTTATATTTCAAATTCTTAATTAACTTATAGAATTAAGCCTTAATTACATATTGATCCTGAATGATATATTTGAATAATTGCTATATCAAAATGCTATAAAGGTTATTGTAATTATTAATTAATCAGCTTCCTAATAACCTCTTAGATATTATCTATCTCAAATAAACAATCTAATGATATTTCTCATCTATTCCCTAAGATTGCTATGCTTAAACTCTCTAACATCAGCAAATTTTGAACAGGTATTTAATGTGTTAACAAATACCATGTGTTGATCAACGTTAAAAAGTATTGAAAAATGGACCCTGTATCAATTAACGCTATTTAATAACACGTAAAATAACATCTATTTTAGTGTAAAGCAATACATTGTAAAATAATGACAGTTTAAAAATGCGTATAATTAGTTGAAAAACATATTTATTTATATGTAATACATCACTATACAACAATAATTGCATACTACTAATTGAACCAAAAGCTTTATTTATTTTAGTTATTCATTGTTGCTAGTAAATTTAATATATGTAACATGTAAATATCACTGTGTGCGCTTTACAAAATATCGTAATCATCACTAATATCAATATCATTGTCTTTAACCTCAGACATATCGATCATATTAGTATGATCATTATTATCATGATCATTATCTTCATGATTATTATTGTCATCATTATTACTATTATAATTATTATCACCATCATCACCAAGCATAGAGGAAGGACTGAATACACATTTTTCCGAATTCTATATATTTTAATGTATCAGTATTAGTAGTTTAATTTCAAATTACTTCATTTCTATACTTACTCCATGAGGATCAGTTAACGTATAGATCCAAGAATTGACTGCTTCGCTTTCAATTTTCGGAGATTTGTGTTTTTCATCAAAATTGTTTCTAATACTAACTGCACCCATAATGCATTTGCAGGAGTACGTTCTTTCTCAGGGAATACCGACTTGATAATTAACGCGATATACGTGTCAGAAGATGGATCATCTGGATTGATAAGTGTATAAAGATTTTTGTGTACTTTTTTTACGTTCTCACTCTGTTTTCACTCTAACATTTGTTTTTTACTATAATTATCCCCAAATAGTTTAATTCTATTTACTCCAAATATAGACCAGAGACTTTCTTTGAGTCTTCGTACATAATAACCTTTTTTGCTCTATTGGTATGGAGAATCTATATTAAACATTTTAAAAATTAGTTACTAACCATTATTAGCAAATGTTAGTATGTATACTTACAAGTGAGTATAGCTTTTTGTCCCATAAATCGTCAAATGAAACACCGTTTGTTTGTAATTGCTTTAGTTTATTAGCACAGTACTCATCAGCGTTTAATTTATTCTTGAGGCGCTCTTTCATTTCTTGTATATTTAATCGTTAATGCTCTTGAAATAACTTATGAGCAAGCTTCTTGATCATATCCTGTAATAATTATTATAAATAAACATAATATAAAAAATAATATAAGAAACAATAATATTTACGTGATAAAATTCATTGGAACTTTTGTTTTTGTTTTTTTCTTTGCGTTACGTCCTGACATTAAGATTTTCTTGAGAGTCTAGTCTTGAAATTATTGTTGAAATTTGGTTTTTTTGCTCAGTCAAAATTTCTTCTAATGTTTCTTGTTTTCTTAATACAAGATTAAGACTTGACGCGTTTCTTTGGCCAATTTGAATTAACTTGACCAATTCGCGTATATTATCAACTAGCAAATTATCATCATTATAAATTAATAATATTAACAAATATATGATAAATGTGATAAAAACAAACACATGATAAATATTAACTTTCGTTGATGGCGATATTTTTTAATGCAGCTGACTTGTTAGACACTACTCTTTTCGACTTATCAGATACTATCGCTGATTTTGATGATAATGATGATGACTTCACTAAGTTGGATACTACCGCCGTCTTGGATGTTGTTGTTGCTGTCTTATATGTCTTAGGCGTCGTTATTGCCGTTATTTTTGATGTTGCTGAAGATACACCTACTGATAATACCAGTGATTCATTACCGTGACTAAATAGATCTATTTTTTGTATTTTTATTGTCTTTGTAATAATAACAATATAATCACAATTAATTTATGAATAATGAGTTGTAAAGATATACTAGTATTTTAATTAATTAAATAATTACTTTATCATTAGAAGCTGCCTTTTCATTGGTGATCACGAATCTTGTTCTAGGGCGTTTCAGGTTATTCAGGTTAAGGGCTTCACTGTTATTCATGACAGATTGCTAATCAAAAAGAAAAAGTAAAAGAATACTGAGTATATATATATCAATAAAAATATGATTATATCATTGAATAGTTAGTATAATGTTGTCATTCAATTACTCACCAATGATTTACTAATCTATGGTTTAGACGATTTAGTCATTTTACTAAAATATTATAATTGTTCATCAAGACTTTAGAAATTTGGTAAATTTGTTATGATTATCATGGCGTGATATGACAAACGATATTAACTAGTAACTGATTTTTTTTTCTTTAAGAACTGAACTAAAAAAGGAAGTTAATATGACAATCATATTACTTCATTATCATTAAACAGTAAAATGAAAAATTCAGTTGTAACAATATTACCTCGTTATCGACAAATAACGAATCATACAATGTGACATAAATAACATTAACTAATAATTGAAATATTTTTTTTTAAGAAAAAGGAAGTTAATATGACAATTATATTACTTCATTATCATTAAACAGTGAAACGATTCAATAAAGAAAAATTCAGTTGTAACAATATTATCTCGCTGTCGACAAACCAGGTTTTAAAAAACAAGTTTCAAACTTTAGTAAATTTGATGTTATAATATATCATAATAAAACTGAAATCATATCAACCTTACCTGCGTCAAGCAACACTTCGAATTTTCTCATCAAACACGAATATAGTGTTAAACGTTTCTTTTTTTTCTTTAATATATTTTGTGTCAAGCAATAATACTCTTTTTTTCTTTTAAAGTCACGTCCTTCTTCTAATAAACTAACATTTAAAAATGGATAGTTATCAGTGTTCAGAATGCGAAAAAGTATTCAACCACCTTTCTTCTTTACAGAACCACAGGAAAACTCATAGTAAAATTGATAAGGTTTTGCAAAAAATTTTTATGGAAAAACAGGAAAAGGTAATTGCTGCTGTTACTACTGAACAACTAAACAAACTACCAAAGGTAAACGACATCGAAATACTAGAAATAAACAAAATGGAAATTAGTGATATTGAACTACTAGACAAAGAACCATTAAGCGACGAAGAAGAGAAGAAAGAGAAGGAGGAGCTCATGGTTAAAGAGGTCAAAGAGGTTGAAGAGGTTGAGGTTGAGCATTCATTACTCGATGTCGAAACAACTACAATATTCAAGTCATTGATATTAGTAGTTCGATGATAAACAAGCCAGAGTTTCCAAGCGAAGAATTTGGCGATTTTATGAAGTTGCTTATCAAGTGGAATTTATCTGATGCATGTGGTAGTGATATACTTAAATTTTCACAAAAAATTAGCCGTGAAGATATAACTTTATCTACCTCAGTAAAACAAGGCCATCAATTATTAGATCATATTGTTGTACCACATATTTCTTTCAAGAAAGTTCCCATCATGACATATAAAAAAGAAGTTTATTATCTTCGCTATCGTCCAATTTTTGATGTCATAAAGGAATTGTTGAGTAATAAAAGTATATATAAAAATTGTATTTTTGAATTTAGCCCATTGTATTATGAAAGTCAAAGGGTATATAGCGAACAATATAGTGGAGAATGGTGGGAAAGAGTCCAAGAATCACTTTCTGATGAAGCAAAAATTTTATCTGTAATTCTATACTCAGATGTGACAACATGTGATCATTTGGGTAAAACTAGTGAACACCCAATTTATTTAACACTAGGTAATATAAATAGTCAGCGTAGAAATAAACCCGATACAAAAATTCTCTTGGGTTATCTTCTAACTCTAAAGGCAAAAACTATTTTCCAAAAAAAATCAAAAAGTTTTCAATTAGCTAAACGATCCCTTTATCAATATGCTTTAGACATATTGACATGACCATTACTTGATTATAAAATTAATGGATTTGACCTTATAATAGATAGTGATGAATTATGATGTTATCCATTTATTTCCGCAATATTAGGAGACCTTCCAGAAAATGCTGCATTGACTTTAACATTTAATTCTGTAAACTGTAATTGCCCATGTCATAAATGTTTAGTTGAAGTTGATAAATTAAGCAACGTAAAGATAAAAAATGATCAGATTATTCTACGAACACCAGAGAATATAAAAAATGCTATTGAACAAGGTATTGCGCAACAATATTCTTTACACGATATGGAAAACATTTTTTGGAAACATCCGTAAATATACGGTACTTAGTCTACAGTCACATAATTATAAAAACTTGTCTAACAGCATCTTGTTAATAATAACGTTAGCCATTTGAATATTTACTCAGTGACAATATCTGATCGAATACATCATCTCGATTTGGGATTATTTAATTACTAAGTAACTTACACAAGAGAAATGTTAAAAGAATTTTATAATCAAATCGCAATTGATGAACACGATAAATACTTAGCTGGAATTCTAAGATTTTCGGGTCTTAAAATATTTAAAAATAGCCTGGAAAATATTAAATGGTTCACAGCTGATGAATTTCGAAACATGATGAAGGTGTTTATGTTTGTCATTGAAGGAATAATTATAAAACATCACAAATAATCAATAAATGCAACTGATGCAAAATGCCTTGATAGTATGCTAGTTAATGTGTATTATCATTGGAATAAAATGTACTTATATAGTCGACGAGAATACTTTTTAGAATCGGAGTTGAATGATTTTAAAGTATAATTGTTACTAGCATTTTATGTTCACATATATCAAATTTAACGTCAGTATTCATTTTGTTTATAGGGTTTAATTACATAATAGGCAACTGAATTTTTAAAATTCTTTAAAAAATATTCACCATCAAATCTTCGATTGCCAAAGCTGCATAATTAGTGTTATTATATCACTATGACAATTAAAGAATATGAAGCAATAAATGGATTTACAACAGAGACGTATGAAGCATTGCATAAGATGTTGTCAAAAACCATATAGAGCCAGCAACAAGCGTAATGTAACAGATCAAATGATTAAAACGGTTAGCACTACTGAATACTATAATATTGTTTTAAACTACTAACTAAATTTTTCAACTACTATTAGATTTACTGAGGATCAATAATCAAGTACTTGCGACAGTGTAAACCCATCAAAAAACGCTAACAATAAACTCTAATGAATGGTTTGCTAGGCACGTTTTTTTTAGAAAAATTTGATGAATTTTTTGATGATTATAAGTTAAAAAATAACTTGGTTCAAGAAGCTTTAACGGTCATAAATAATTTTATCTTGACGTTAAATGATTTTTTTGATTTATGTGATGATTTATCTGAAGACATGATTATAGAAAATACTATTAAAATTAGTTAGTATAGCTATACTAATGTTCCTTTAAGCGGAGACTACATTAGAGCAAAAAGCTTGTATTATAAGGAACCATCGTTCAGTAATGTGTCAATTAATATGAATGAAGAAGAATCTGAAGATTATAATACGTATGACGATACATATTTTGGCAAAGTATACATTCTATTATTTGAATATTAACCATATTGTTAGTATATTAATTTAGTATTGTATTTATAGGTTATTATGTTAGTTAATGTCAATGTTGAAAATTATTCATCTTTTGACCTCGCGCTTATACAATAGTACGATTTTTGATATAAAAATCACCTATATAAATATGATTGTCCATTGTTGCAGTTTACAGATACATATAACTTGGTGCCTGTAGAATCAATTATTGAGTTGGTACAAGTAATTAAATGCGTTGAAAAACAAAATGAATATTTTGTTAATATGTATATGTTTTAAATTTTGTAACTATCATATCATGATTATTGTATCACGTGACACAAAATTTAGTATATATATATTGTCTTTTCGATTTTGTTTAAAAAATTTTTTTTTTTTGTTTTTTTTTATTATTATATTGCATTCTTACGAAAAGCACTCCTCTGTAAACAGGTAGAGATTCTTTAATATCTATAGGGAGAAAGCCATTGCTGTTCTCTCCGCCTTTTTATAGTGACAAAGAGAGGGTGTCTTCAGTAATAAGCGGATATTTATTATCTGGTAATATAATATGATTATAAAAAATAAATAAAATAATTACTAATACCTATAATAAAGTTACTGATTAACTGCCGCTTCATATGCAAATAAACAATAAAATTTATATAGTACCAATAATCTGTTGGTAAAAAAAATAAAAAATTACTTGAAATATGCCATCAATAAACAATATTGCGTAATAGTGTATAAAGTGTTAATTGACACATTAGTGTTGAAAAATGTGTATGTTAAGAGCACTCGTTGATATACTCCAGTATATAGCATGGTTTAACACCATGTATCACGTTAATTTACACGTTAGTGTTGATAAACATGTATACTTGTGTAAAACATCACCTCCGAAACTTCCTGATGAATGATCAATACTATATTTTCTCAACTATTAATATATATATGAGTAGAAATAATAATATCAAGTAGCTTTACTTCTTTATCACTAGTTCAGCTGAAACTGGTAAACTTTTATTATTCATATGATTTAAAATATTCTTATTCAAAAATCACAATCTTATCTTTTTTTCACTTCTACTAATATAATAGTTCAAAATGTAAAAGGAACTACTACCTATTCAGAATTACATATCATATTCACACATAGTGAATTTCTTATATATACTTATATAAATAATGAACTAGAATTTTCTTGAAAAAAATCAACACTATAATTATTAAAGAAGTGTTTATAATCTCTGCTAAACTCTTAGATTTTATCTCAAACATGTTTGTCAACTTTTATAGAAATGCTTTTACTTTTGGTGGTCTGAATATCAAAGATCTAATGTAACTTTTACTGATTAATAATCAACAGGTATTTCACATAGCTGTTTGACTTTTGTTTTACCTATTATTCTTAAGAACTCTATATCGTTAAAGTTAAGATAAAAAATTTTACCTCATACTAGAAGATGTCTGAATAGAAAACATTTCTGATGAAACTTAGGTCAGATTACAAAAGTGATATTTAGAATTCTTATTTCACTTACCTATTAACACTTTGCTTAACACTATGCATATTATTAGATTTAAAGAGAATGCTTATCAGATCAATAGAATAATATATAATCTCCTTCCAATTATTATGTAAAAATTCATAATCTCATAGGCTGTAGATATTATAAATGCTGTACAATGAGAATCTTCATTATCAAATCCCATGTTTAAACTAAAAACAAATCTTTCACTATCTATCTGCTTACAATCAGATGTACAAGTAATGTATCTAAATAACTCTCTTATTCAATATAGTATATGTAATAGTATGATAGATATGGTTACTAATGTCTGTCCTTCTGAAGAATATGCTTAGATTGTTTTCTCTATTAGGAGCTTGATCATTGATATTGACATTTACAAGCATACCTATTATTTTGAGATTAATAGAAACAATTGCTATCATACCCAATTTTCTCTTTAAAATTGCTTTGCTTTAACTGTTCACAAGACCCAAGGTCTAACTTTACCAAGAGTATTTCTAGCTTTAGATAGTAACATCTTCTCATATAGTCAAGCTTATGTTGCTCTAAGCTGATGTTCTACTTGGAATAATGTTGAAATCTACCTAGACATGTCTGCCTTCATGTTAAATCAAGATATCATATTAGAATATCAAAGATTATCAAATATTTCTAACACAAACCCTCATTTATTTTCGTAAATATTCTATATTTACTTTCTTTTTAACTTTTATATTTCTCATATTCTCAAAAATTCAATTCAATTTTTTAAAAAAAAATTCAATTGTACTTTTCAAGAAAACTTTATTTAATATATTCTAAAAATTTTTTACATTATTTATTTAAATAAGATAAATAAAATACTTCAAATTTTATAAATCTTATCAATAAAAAATTATCAATATGACCATCTGTTATACTGGTCATACAGTAAATCAATTCGTTTGGTCAGTGATCATGTGTACTTTCACTTTCACCACATATATCAGATTAGTATCCGGTGGGTACTGGATAAAAAGTACTGGCTAGTTTAATTGTAATTTTTTTTTTTATACTATTAAATTAAAATAATATAATACAATAATATTATTATTACTATTAGGTTTAGAAATATTTATAATTAAATAATGTATATAAATTATTTGCTAAAGAGTATAGTTCAAATTAATGTTTAAAGTATTAGGAAACTGATTCAAAAATTATTATTAAATCCGATACATAAGTATAGATCAATTACAATCAATTTGATTTTGATAATTTGTTTAGAGAATTATACATTTAACCGGTTTATTAATACCGGATTTCGAATTTCTAAAAACCAGACCCGGGAAATATCAAAAAAAAAAATATAACCTCTTTTCTAAAATCACATGACTAAATTATTGAGCGGTCAAAACAATTAGTCTTTATAAAAAGCTTATAACTATCCGTTAATCAAGGTAGAAACTATCTCTAATTTATAGCCATTCACGAAGAGTTCCGTTCAGATTATACATGATAAATCCACATAGGTATTCCGATTTTCTTTGGCTTTTGTGAGCAATCTATTGACCCTTTGTTGAAACAGAGCGTTGTATAAGAAAGATATATACGTTAGTGTTCGTTGGTTGGTCTGACAGAAAGTTCTTGCTAACCTTGAAAGAGGCATAAGTTCTACATCACCAGTAAATATATCAACAACTTAACAAAACGTCAAGAATCATTCATCTATTTTTCATATAAAGCTTTGCACGACGGCTCGGCTCCGTCCATTTTTATCGTATAACGGCTCGAATTAATAATTTGTTTTTCAAAGAAATGCACGGAGACGATTCAATTGATTATCAGGATTTTTTTTTTTTAAAAAAAAAAAATTCACTCTTTTCTTTAGTTGATCGTGGATTTCTAAAAAGACAAGACATGATAAATAAACAAACAAATATTTGGTTCTCAACTGATCTCATCCAAATCTCACACATACAAAGTGATTGGCATTTGTATGGTGCTACATAAGAAATTTGGTATGATAACCAGTAATTCAAGTTTTGGCCAATCTTTCGCGTAGACTTTTTAAAAAATCGATCCGTTAGCTTTTCCTTTTTTAACATGCAGTAAGTCAAACAAATCCATACTTGTTTCTTTTCACAGAGTTATAAAGAGCGCAACTCCATATATTTGTGATTATTGAACGATCAATTTATTTAGTTTCATTCAAAAGGTTCTGATCAAGTGGGAACTTTAGATAAGACGCAAATTGATGTGAAATAAAAAAAAAGTTTCAAAAAAGTTTTCAATCAAAAATTAAAGTATTCAATCAATCAATAAAATTTTTGCTTTATTTGAATTATCATTAAATTATTTTCAAAAGATTTGGTGTTTCAACTTGATAGCTTTAAAATTTTCGTAATGATTTAATGAAAAAATCGAAAAAAAAATCTATTAATCTAATTAAAAGGAGAAGGGGATTTTAAAAATAATTCCACCAAACTCGAGTTTTATTATCAAATACGAAACACTTTGGATATTAAATGAATGGATCATAAGAACCTAAGGAAATCTAGTATCGCCAGACCTGATAAGAGGAACTCTAACTACCTAGCTTCTGGCCCTAAACACACTCATCTATGATGGAAGGTACTGTCGCAACCAGGCTGACCGACCAATCATAAACAAATGTATTTAAGCAATTTCTTCTCGAGCGGGCCACCCATTAGCACTAACCAGAACTCTAGGTCAGATTTCCCGGATAAACACTTTGTTTAAGTACACCAATAAGGGAATAGACAGACTGGGAGCCCATTGCCAGCAGATACGGCCCTGTATGTACTAGGAACCTCACCAATTCTATTTAAACCCAAGTGTACATATAAGACCAATAAAACTCGAGTTGAAAACGAAGGGAAATAATAAGGACCTTAGCAAATCAAACGAACTAGTTTAATTATAAATGAAGGATAAGCGAAGATATAGTTAGAGAATCACCATAGTAAAGCTTAAAGAGAAATACAACAAATACTTACGTTCTTCAACATTATTTTTAATTAATCTGCATGATTTCCTTGTTTATTTAATCGACTCGGATATCAGCTAAATATTGTTTCAAAAATATAGTAAAGTACGTTAAAGAGAATTTTTTTTCTAAAAAAAAAAATAATAATAATAATTACTTACGCATATCTTGAACAATAATAATACGTTTAACCACGTCTTAACTTTTACAGAAAAACGGAAGGAAATACTGCTTTATCAGAAAAAATCGTTGGTCGATAAATTATTACATTAATAGTATCACCACATCCACTCTTTACAACGCAAAGAGCATACTAACTGGCAGTACTTACATATCGTCACACAGAGAGGCGAAAGCGCGTATGAAAACACTACATAATAGAAAGGTTGGATACAAACAACATAAAAAGAATAAAAAAAGGAACAAAGATCCAAAGTTATAGTTAAAAGTTACAAACTTTCTAATTTTTCTTTCTTAAAGTTAATCGAATAACGAGAATATCACTGTATATAATCAATAGAAAAGAACGTAAAAGCGTAAAAAGAAAACGACGCGACATTTAAAAAAAAAAATTACAATAAACAAGTTATAAAAATAAGTTACAAAATTTTTAATTTCGTTTCAGATTTTTTTTTTTGAAAGTTGATTTCTTGAAAATTAGAAGCTACGACCTTATTTATATATTTAGGCTTTGCTCAAGAAACTTTTTCTTTTAAAAAAAGACCCTCTTATTTTTCGTGGGAAAAAAATTGAAGTATCTTAACCTAATCTTAACCCTCTTTTTTTCATTTATGCATTTTATCCTTTTTTTTAATTATTACACATGTCCAATTAATTTTTAAGCATGAGTAGTCGGCAAAAAATGCGTGGCGGGTTACTAATCAAATTAAACAAATTAACCGTCGTGATCATTTTGGACATGCGCAATTCCCAAATCGGAGTAATCATAATTTTGACCGGAAATTGAACTTCGGTCTTCCCAAATCATAACGAAAATTTTAGGTTAAATAATTGTGAGCTCAATTTCTGAAATCGTCGTCAAAATTAATATTATAAAATAAATTACATTTACTATAAAATTTAATATATTTTACTAAGTAAAAATAAAATAAAAAAAACAAATAGTGAATTTTATCATATTAATAAGATTAAAAATCAAAAAATTTCTAAATAAAATTATTAATATTCTGAAATATTAAACCTTAGTTTTGATAAAGATTAAAAAAAGCTTTTATATACTATTAAAATACATTTCTTATATACTGAATTGAAACAGATCAACCATACGTCATAGTAACACATAATAAATGGTCATCTGCAAAAAAAAAATTATTTTTACCATGAAGTGTAGTAAATTAGAGGAAGGGATTGAGGTCCTAAAGGATGAAAATAATGAATGTCTTAAAGATATTATAAATAATATCAGCAAGAATAAGAAAGATCAATGTATAGAAATACTTATGAAATAGTAGGAGAATAGACAGAACTCATGAAAAAAACTATATCCATTGTAAAAGAAATAAGGCAGTAATAGCTCATACTAGGACTCAGTTGGATCAGCTAGAAATTAAAGAAAATTAAACAGAATTTTTAAACAATTATCAAGATTGGGTTAAGAGATTTATTGATAAGGTTGTAGATAGGCTAGGAGAAAAAGAATGACATTTGGCAGAGTCTGCTCTTTTTATCTTAAGATTAGAATGGATTTAACAGATAAAGAACTTAATTATATTGAAAATTTAAAGAATTTTTTATGTGATCTTAAAATAATAATTGTTAATATTAAGCTATTATGTGAGATGAAAGACAAAAACAATACTTTATTACATAGTAATAGATAAAGCTTAATAGAAGCATAAACACAACTTAATAATCTGCTTCTTGATAATCTAATAATATACTGCAAAAGGCTCTTAAAGCCATTAACAATTGGCATATATCTAGATTTTAAAAATATTTCTTAGATTAGAAAAAAACAAGATTATCAACTTTATTTTCATTGATTGTTATAGATATAACTAAAGTCTTTAATAAATCTTTTTTTAGTAAACTATAATAAATATTAAAAATTTTAAAAATTAGGATTTAATAGACTTGTTCATAAAAAAAATAAAATACTTTTTTTATATTTGTAAAACTTATTTAGTGGAATAAAGCACAGTAGCTAATAAAATACTTTTATTTGCAATACCTTTTATTAGCATAAAAAATATCTAATTGATAATTATTACTCTAGTCAAAAGAACTTTTTAGTATAACTATTAAAAATTACTGAAACGTATTTAATTTTATTAATTATACTTAAAAATAGTTAAATTAATTTTTAACGAAAATTGATTTTTTAAAATAAAACTTAACAAACTTTTTTCAGCATTTAAAATTATACCACCTATAAGAATTATTACATGCTTTAAAATTTTGTTTAGAGATAAAAAAGAAGTTTCAAACATCTTTTTTGATTTTTATATTATATTTTATAAAAGATAACTTCACTGAAAAAATAGTATTTATAATCACTATCTTCTTATTAAGTAAACTTGTAAAGAAAGCAAAATTACATATAAAATTTAATTTTAAAATTCATATACAGTCAACTCTTGTTATAACTAAAGATGACATTGCAATTAGTTACAACTGGTAATAAATAAGCATCACAGAGTTGCAATTAATTGTAATATTAATAAAAATTGTATTATAACTAGTTGTAACTGGTAGCAAATAAGTATCACATGATTGCAAATAATTGTAATACCATCTTTAGTTATAACAAACTCTATGTCTTAAACTTCAACTTCGCTATAAGATTATAGTAAAGATTTTAAAAGATTTGATTAACCAATTCATTATAACAAGAGTATTTTTATTATATTTATTCAAAAAATTTGTTATATCAAGAGTTTACTATATCAAGAATTAATTGTAATACTTTTTTTAGGTTTTATTTAAAAAAATAAAATAAAGAAAAATTTTTATTAAGCTTGATAGTCTATTTTTAAAAATAATCAGCAGAAATTGATCATATACCTGTAATTTTTTATGATTATGCTGGAAAAATCAGTCAAAAGTATTGGATTACGTAATTATTATTACACAAATTGACATAATTTTATTGATCATAATTTTTGATATAATATATAAAAATATGAATATATTTTTTTAATATTAAAAACCTATGATTTTAAATGAGATAAAATAATTAATCTCTGAAAAAGTGATTATAATAAATAAAGTATTAAAGATATTCTTGACTATTTCAAGTCAACTATATATAATATTATTAAAAAATATAAGATAGAACATTAAGTTTTAAATGCTTTTAGGTTCAACAGATTATCTAATTTAATCAAGTAAAATGTTAGATATTTTGTAAAAACTGTTAAAAAGAACTGATAACAATCTTTAGAAAAAATTATAGAAAAATTTAATTAGACATTAATAATTCAATAAGTTTTAATACTATAAAAAGAACTCTACATATTGAAAGTTTTATGATTATATTAAAAAAAGAAAACCTTTGTTATCAGAAGCAAATTATAAAAAAATTTTAAAATAGTATTATAATAGTAAAATTAGGATTCTGTGTGAAATATAATAATATAAAATGATGAATCTCATTTTTTATTATTTTAAAATGATATTCATCATTAAATTTAGTATTTTTTTATAAAAATATAATATAAGTTATTTAATTTCTAAAGTATAATAGAAAATAAAAATATAATGATGTAAAATATTTTATGAAAAATAAGATTAGACCTTTAATTCAAATTTCTAACAAAATAATAGATTCTGTATATATTAAAATTTTAGAAAATAATCTTTTACTTTTTATTGATAAATTTGAAACAGATTTAAAGTATATTTTTAAAATAATAATACATTAATATATCAGGTAAATGCAGTTAAAAAATAAATAAATAAAATTATTTTGTGATCTATACTATCATCTGATTTAAATTCAAATAAATATTTATAAGATATTTTAAAAAAGAAAAATTTGTAAACATAATTTACATCAAAAAATTCTTAAAGAATTAATAATTATCTTAAAGAAATAATTAAATAAAATTAAATTAAAAATTTAGAAAATTTAATAGAAAATATATTAAAAAGAATTTAAGCTATAATAAATAGTAATAGTTATTTTAATAAAATTACTTAAAATGTTTTTCATAATTAAAAATTAAAATTAGTTATTAAATTTAAAATTTGTAATAATTTTAAAATAATTTAATACTTTTGATTGATTAGAGAGTGTATTTAAAAACAAATATTGAAATTAATAATAATTAATAAATTAAATATTTAATCTATTATAAAGAAAAATATAAAAATAAATTTCTTTAAATCTAATTAACTTATTATTGATATTTAAAAAATTTATTAGATATCTTTCAAAAAAATATAATGTATTTATAAATAGTGATATATATAGAATAATATCTATTATATAGATTGAAATATAAGATATTTTAAAATATATTCTAATATCTGTGTTTTATAATATCTTAGCTTATTAATTGTTATAAGAATATGTCTTACTAAAATTTAATTTTAGACGTGTCTCATCTATACTTTAATTAATTGACTTTTATTTTTTTATAGATTAAATAAATTTATAAATTAGATTTTATTTTCCATTTTCTTTTAATTATCTTTTAAAATTACAATTATTTTGAATTTAAATGCCTATTTTACTAATTTTTTTAGATTTTTTCTAATAAAACAGATACTATATTATTACATTTAAAAATATTATAAAACTAATATCTGAAATAAGAAATAGATTTTTTTTATTATTAAAATGCAATAATAATTTAAATCTTGAAATAAATTATTATATAAAAATTTTTATTAATTTATTTTTAATTTTTATTATATCTAAATTATTTTTTAATATTATTTTTTTTATGGATTCATAATCTAAATTCTTCTTGTGATACTTTATCTATATTTTTAAAAATATATATTTTTATATAATCATTATTATATAGTTTACTTAATAATTATATTATTAGACTATTATCAAAATGAGATATACAAAATTTAATATATTATTAATTTGATTAATAGTTTTCTATAAATAGTCTTTAAACTGTATTAACAAATTTAAAGTAAAAAATTATTTAAGTTTTTTAATCTTTCATTTAATCTTCCTTATTATTAGAATCTTAGTAAATGAATTCTAAAGTATTATTTTTGAAAATAATAAAGTAATAGAAGTATTTTCTAAAAATTTAGTAGGAATAACTCTTTTATTTAATAGTTGAACTAATATAAAAAATGAACAATTATGCAGTATTATTATTATTATATCAGAAAAAAGACTATATATGAAAGGGTTTCTAGGAAAATCAGGTTCTAAGAAATTTTTGACTTAAATTAAGAGCTTAATACATTTTAATCTAATAACATTAAAAACTAAAATTTTGTACAGATTTATCAATTTCAATTTGTTTTAACATCTATTGAATTTTATGATAATGATAATTATTTTTAAATGACATAATAATTTCAGCATCCATTAGTTGAAGTTTTGATATTATATTTGAAAATAAAAAATAACATCAACATATGAAAGAACTAATTCTTTTATTTTGTGACATGGATAATTATCAAGAAATATAATAATAATACACACTAATTATTATATTTTCTAGACATTTATAAGTTAAAATTTTGAAGCCACTCTTGAAAAATAGTCAATAACATCTAAGCTTTAGAATTATATTGATAAATTATTAGCAGATTTAAAATATTTATATTTTTAAAGTATTGTGATTTTACACATTTTTCAATTATTAAGGGTTTTAATTTATGTGATCCATCTGAATTTATATACAATGCAATAGTAATACATTCTTTATTTTTTTATGTCTGAAAGAAGTTTTATAGCTAGAGTTCAATCTGATTCTAATTAATAAAAGAGCCAGTCTCATCCATATTATATATTCTTTCAAAAAAATAATTTGCATATTTTTCACGTAACAATAATAAATTTTCAATAATAGTAGCATTATTTGCAGAATCAGCTTCTTTATGAAGTTTCTCCTGATGAATTTAATTACGATATTTGAATTTATGAAACTAACTGGAAAAAAATTGCAATATGTCTTCTAGAACTCCTAATCCACTAACAAGTAACTTAGCTTTTTTAATTAATATAATATCACTTAATATAGTTTGATATTAGTAATATCAGTAATGACAAGTAATCCAAATGACCTTAAATGACTCAAATAACTGGTCATGTGTTATTTGGGTCATTTCAATATTAAATAATAAATGATCAACTCATTTAAAAATTATATCATATGATCTCAATAATTCTGACCAACATAATTATATTTTGAACATTTTTATAAATATTTCACATGATATAAATTTGTAATTTTAGCCAGCATATAAAATTTGCCTGTATTACATTTAAATGACCAAATGACAAATAATCTCAAATTATTAAATCATTTGAAGGTCATTTAGAGGTCGTTTTAAAATCACTAAATGATCTGATTATTTGTCATCACTGGGTAATATAGTATAAATTTTTAAGTGCTAATTTATGTTCTATAATAATAATA